TATCTACATCTTCTGCTACTTAACCATTCAGTAGATTTTTTTAGAAAACTCCTAACAAACGTATAATCTTATTCATGCTCGGTAAACGTATTACTACTATACCTGAGAAGCATGATCCTCCTGAATGGTCAACAATTGCTGATTTGATTCAGCTTTGACCAATCTGAAAGTTCTTTATCATAGTTCTAAGTTCTAACCTTCTCAACAAAAAAAAAAAAAAAAAAAAAAAAATCCTTAGCATTATTAATTTATTATACCTTTTCCATTTCAAAATTAATAATTTCATGCTTTCTTTACCTTTATTTAGTTTTGGAGCCACAAAAATTAAATTATAAAAGCCCAAAAACGGTTCCACCGGTCCAACCACTCAATTTTGGCCAATTCCCAAATTAGCTTTTTCTCTACAAATTCGAATCAAATTTTCTCCTTTCATTATCCAAATGTCAGGACTCGAAATCTATCCTCACGATCCTTCTTCTTCTTCAAGCTCTATCGATCTCTCCAATGAAGCTTTCTTCAGCACTGGTGGTTTGTTTCTCGAACCACCTGGCGTTTCCTCTTCTTTCTTCGACTCGATCTCCTCCAAATGCGTTTCCTCCGACTCCGAACCGGTGCATTTTCCCGGTTACTTGAGAAACAAAACTCGTCTTCGCTCAAGTAAGAACTTGATGTTCCTGTCCGTGAGCTTGAGTAAAGACAGATCCGAGCAGCAATGTAAGAATGATTTGGCGCAAAACGACAAATTTTCCGGCAAGGATAATGGAAAACGACGTGTTATCGGTGGAGTGAGGAGACGCGGTACCATGAACACAAGGAAGCATCTCTGGGCTGGTGCTGTAGCTGCCATGGTTTCAAAGTATATATTGTTGAATTAGAACGCATATAAGTTGTTTGATGAAATGCCTCAACCAAAACCATGATTGTGACTTTGATTTCAGTATTGGCATTTGTTTTTTGGGCAAACTTGTATTGGTATTAATATTGCACTTTTTGTTGTTGTTGTTGTTGATGATGGCAGAACATTCTTAGCTCCACTTGAGAGACTAAAGCTTGAATATACAGTTCGTGGTGAACAGAGGAACTTGTTGGTGGTCGCTAAGTCAATTGCCACTACACAGGGCTTGACTGGATTCTGGAAAGGTAATTTGCTCAATGTTCTCCGAACTGCTCCTTTCAAAGCCGTCAATTTTTGTGCCTACGATACGTATAGAAATCAATTGCTTAAACTCGCTGGGAATCAAGAAGCTACCAACTTTGAAAGATTCGTTGCTGGAGCTGCTGCTGGGATTACTGCTACTGTGCTCTGCTTGCCACTCGATACTGTAGGTCCTTACTCTTTAAACCATATTAGATCAAAGATGAGAAAGTTCTCTGCTTTAGAGTCTAGTGTCAGTTTTCAAGAGGAAGATATGAAATGTGGAACCATTTTGATTATACTGTCACAGATACGAACCAAACTAGTGGCTCGGGGTGGAGAAGCCTTGGGTGGAATCGCAGGAGCTTTTCGGTATATGATCCAAACAGAAGGGTTATTGTCACTTTACAAGGGTCTAGTTCCGTCTATAGCAAGCATGGCTCTGTCCGGTGCAGTTTTCTATGGCGTTTACGACATCCTTAAATCATCCTATCTGCATACACCAGAAGGCCGGAAAAGACTGATAGACATGAAGCAGCAGGGACAAGAACTCAATGCTCTAGACCGGCTCGAGTTAGGACCCATCAGAACTCTCATGTACGGTGCTATCGCAGGTGCTTGTACTGAAGTGGCCACTTATCCTTTTGAAGTAGTGAGACGACAGCTTCAGATGCAGATGGGTAAAAACAAGCTCAATGCTGTAGCTATGGGATTCAATATCATTGAGAGAGGAGGCCTCCCAGCTTTATACGCTGGACTTTTACCTAGCTTGCTCCAGGTTTGCATAATACTTGTTCCATTACTAAAGTTAACCTGTGTCTATTGTTTCCAAAAGCTTGATATGTTCTGTTACATATCTCCAGGTATTGCCTTCGGCTTCAATAAGTTACTTTGTCTACGAGTGTATGAAGATAGTGCTTAAAGTAGAATGACAAGTTTTCAAGATTAAGATTTTGGAAGAGTACTAACACATAAAGAACTCATTCATTACACAATGCATTGAAAGATGAATCAATCTATAACACTATGCTTAATTTAAACCTCGTCCTCGTGGAGAAGCATATTGGGGATTCCTTTGTTAACCGAAAACTTCCTACCGGTTTCTGGGCAGACGAGTGAGCCTTCCTCAAGATGAAGCTCGAGCAACGCATGGTGGAATTTCCTGAGGAATGATTCGTCAGATTCCAGCGTCTTTATGTCCGGTGCGTTATCGGGAAGTTCGGTGTATTCCATAGAACGTGCACCGTCCACTAGAGCTTTCCAATCGATTTTGGCAAACATGTGCTTGAGAAAATCCGGGTTGAAATCGACCTCTTTCTCGACTATCTTCTCGGGTTCGATACGTAGAGGAAACTTGTTAACCACTCCTTTAATGTTGCAAGACAACATGTTGTGCACTATCAACCTCATCTTTCTCGTTCTCTCTACAACGAGCAAGAGACGCGCGAGGAAGACGAAAGTGTCTTGGTAGCTGACGATAGTACCCTAATGGACTTGCGAGCTTTTTATGAGTATGATTAAGTTTTGTAAATGGGCTTTATCTATGTATGGCCATACAAGAAGATCAGTAAAGTCTCCAAGTCTATCATGGTTGACAGTCAACCGTTGACTATCTTAAATAATCGAAATGATAGAAACAATTGGAAAATGTAATAAAGTTTCAATATTTGGAAAATTTCATGGGAAATTGTTGATTTGTTGTTGTGTATATCAATTTATCAATTAAATTTTTCATTATAATTTTATATACAAATTTTTACTATAGATTGTAGTATTTGTATACTTATAAATAAATAAATAAAGCAAATTATCTAAAACAAAATCAAAAATAAAACAATTACCTCATTTGCTTCCCAAATTATTATTAGTTGGACTAAGATGTTATTCTATTACCAAAAAGTAATTGTATGCATTTGTGTTTAAGCAGTTACCAAAGTAAAAGCATGCAAAATAGCTAATAACGTTAGATTTGGTGTGAATTAAAAAACTAATTCATGAAAACCATACCAGAATTATTTAATTTTAATTTCAGTGGATATAAATTTCTCTTATGAAAACGACATTAACGAAGGAGAGCCAATGCTTCGTCGTCAAATTTGATCATTTGCGGAAATCGAACCAACTTAGGGTTTTACTTCTCTCAATTCTCTCTTCAATTTCGTCTCTTGCTTCCATTTTCCAAACTCAAATTCGCAAATTTCGCAGATTTAATTCAGAATCCAAATGCCCAAGATCTGCTGTTCTCGTTCCGCTACACAAGTAAAAATCCAAACTTTTTTCATTTGATCAGAGTTTTCTGGATTTTTTTGGTGATCTTTGTTAATGTGTTTAGGTTGTGGTAGCACAAAAATCAAACTCGGGTAAAGGAAGAAACAGTGAAGGAAGAATCAAGTATGGGTTTAGTTTGATAAAGGGGAAATCTGACCATTCAATGGAGGATTATCATGTTGCTAAGTTTATGAATTTCAATGGCAATGAATTGGGGCTTTTTGCAATCTTTGATGGTCATAAAGGTGATAATGTAGCTGCTTATTTGCAGAAACATCTCTTCTCTAATATCCTTAAAGATGTAAGTTATATAATTATTGTTGCTTTTTGTATATGTTGTGATTAGTGTGATATATAGATAAGTATATTGTGTTGATTTTTCCGTATAGGGAGAGTTCTTGGTTGATCCTCGAAGAGCAATTGCGAAAGCTTATGAGAATACAGACCAAATGATTTTAGCAGATAATAGAACGGATTTAGAGAGTGGCGGTTCGACTGCTGTGACTGCGATTTTGATCAATGGGAAAGTTTTGTGGGTAGCTAATGTTGGCGATTCGCGTGCTATTGTTTCTAGTCGAGGTAAAGCAAAACAGATGAGTGTAGATCATGATCCTGATGATGATACTGAGAGGAGTATGATTGAGGGTAAAGGTGGATTTGTAACCAACAGACCAGGTTAGGAACAGGTTTTACTGATCTATCATTATATATAAGGATGATTCTGATGTTTGTGAATTGAACAGGTGATGTTCCTCGAGTGAACGGTTTGTTAGCTGTGTCTCGTGTCTTTGGTGACAAAAACCTCAAAGCATATTTGAACTCAGAGCCTGACATTAAGGATGTCACCATTGATAGTCACACAGATTTTCTTATTCTGGCTAGTGACGGTATTTCGAAGGTGAAATTGCGGTTAAAGATTACTAGTTAGTCTGGATTTTACATATGGAAGTGATTAATGGGAATCATTTTGTTGAAACTTATTGAACAGGTGATGTCAAACCAAGAAGCAGTTGACATAGCTAAGAAGTTGAAAGATCCAAAGGAAGCAGCGAGGCAAGTAGTTGCTGAAGCATTGAAAAGAAACAGTAAGGATGACATATCTTGCATTGTTGTCCGGTTTAGATGATAACCAAGAAGACGCAGCTTATATTGGATTTGGAGCTTGCTTTTGCTTCACCAAGATTATTTTGGGGTCCGGTTTAGTTTGATCTGGTTCTTGGTTACTTGTGCATTTTCAAGAACAGGAGTTGAATAGGAATATTATTATGTTATACTAGTTTGACAAACCAGATGAGTTATATCATATAAATTACATGAAAAGAATAGTCGATTTTATATGATGTAGTTTGTTCTTGGAATCATGGATAATCATTCAGAATAGATGCATTCACATCAGCCAGGCTTACTTACTGGGCTTTAATGAAAAGGCCCATATCGGCCCATAAAATGGTAGACCTAAAGGGAAATTAGGGTTTCTGAAGCAGGAAACCGGAGGCGGCCACTATATATGCTAATGCTCTTACCTGTTAGCAAATCGTATTCTTGATGGTTCTCAAAGCCGATTTGTTATCTTTCAGTTGTTTTATATCGTTGATGTTAGTTTAAGCAATTAGTGGTTTTTGTTTTTTTTGGTTTATGGGTTGATTTTTGAGTAAGAGAAAGATGCCTCTTCTTTCAGCAGCAAGATCTATACTTGTTAGCTTTGTTCTGGAGGCACATATCAATTCGCCTTTGTGAGAGGGATTTTTATAATTTGCAGAGTTGTTTCTTCCTTCTTTGCTGATTATCCCTCTCTTTGGTACATAATCTCTCCTATAATGATAAGTTTTGCTCCGAAAATCTTCATGAATAAAATGACTTGAACTGCTGTTACGTGGTTATTTGAGAACTGTGATGAGTATACACTGGTTTTTTTGCATATGACATTTTTCAATGCATCTCTATGTTTATGCTCATCACTGTTCTTGACTACCCACTAAACCGATGTTTAAAAAACCGATGAAGGTTCAAATCTTTATGTTTAAAGGCCCCCAAATTAGTCTGTCTCCCATATTATGCGTATCAAATAATTCGTCCAGCAAATAAGACTGTGTGTGTTTAGATAAGCACCTAAAGAATTAAAGTTTTTGATTATGGACAACGGAATTAATTTTAGAAAAGTCGGACATAAACAAATAATTAGAGATTGGAAACGCGAATTGATATATATCTTTATAAAGTTTCAGGATACATGAGAAGAAAATCAAAACTAGGAACTAACCGAGGAAAAAAAAAAAAAACTAGGAACTAACATTAATCAAACACTTCCATTAGAGATAGGATTCTGCTGTGGGTTAGTCTCCAAAAGAAAAGATTTGAGATGTTTAAGAAACGTTTTGGGTCTCTCGAAGTTAAAGATATGACCAGTTCTCTTGATGATAACGAGTCTCCCATTGTCTCCTAAATGTTTCTCAAGTCTCTTGCCCATCTCCAATGGGAACACTTGATCATGCTCTCCCCATATTATCAACGTTGGCTGCATTCATTAAAAGAAAAACTCTTTATTACATTTATAAGAGTAAAGATTTATGACAAATTTGGGAGGATAAAGATTGAACCTGTGTGAGCTTTGGAATCTCTGAAATTATTCTGTCTTTTGGTATGGCTTTGATCAGTTCTCTCTTCTCTTCCATATTATCTCTAGTCAAAGCCTGTTTCGTTTCACATTGTTTTAGCTTTATTCACCAAGTAAGAATATTTTCTTCAATGTTAAAAAGAAAAACAAAACAACTCTTCTTATTGGTACACGAATATATAAAGTTTACTCATTTTTACCGTTTCATTCAATAAAGAACTACCAAATAAATCATTTAAGATCTCTGAAAATGAAAATATGTTGATAGATCTAACGAACCCATATAATAATTAAGAAATTCTTCAAAAAGACAAAAACGAACCAACCAGACAATTTTTCTTTTGAATTACAACTTGACAAATATAAGTACATTATCTTCAAACAGATATTAGAATCTTTAAAAGTTCAAATCTTACTATTTCTAAACTATACTCGCACTTACTAGATTTCCATCATTTAAATAACTTTTTCTTCTTTTCGCTTTTTCGTATCGTATATGTTCTTAAGACATGTAGACACGTGTAGCAATATGATTTGGTTGAAGAAGTAAAAAGAAGAAAGTAGCTCACATGTTCGATGAAATCATGGAGAAGACAAGTAGGAACCAGTCTCGCCAACGCCGGCTTGTAAAATATGTAACCCATAAGTTCCCTGAGCTTTTTCACAGATTCCGGCACAAGAATCTTCGAGGCTTCATCAAGATCCGACACCTTGAAAACGCCAGCTTTCATATCTTTCTCCTCCACGCACACGGCGGCGCAGCATATCACAACTCTCTCCACGGCGTCTGCGTACATCGCCGCCATCCGATAACCCACGAATCCACCGTAGCTAAGACCGACGAGACTGAATTTTTTCACGGATTGGGCTTCTAAGGCCCGCATGAGTGTTTGGGCCTGAAAGATATCGGATCTTTCGGGTCGGGTCGTGGAGGATCCGCCGAAGAAGACGAGGTCGGGGATGTAGAGGTTGAAATGACGAGAGAGACGTCGAGCTACGTCGTACCATTGCCAGATGGCAGTAGCTCCGAGGCCGTGGATGAGGAGGAGATTGGGTTTGGGTTTGGACTCGGGTTGGGTTTTGGATACCCAAAAGTTGACTACGGTTCCATCTTTCAAATCGATGGTTACGGGTCGTAGACCGGATCTTTTGAAACCGGATTTGTAAGTTCGTTCTATTGCTTGAGACAAGCTAAAGAAACCTGTCATTACAAAAGAATAAAAATGTGAGTGAGGATACAAAAGAAAAGAAAAAGATTTTGGGTTGAAAGATATTGTGGTGTGTTGTGTTTGGTTCTTTGGTATTGGTTGGGGGATTTATTACGAATGAGCACATTTTATTATTAATATTAATAAATTGAAAGAGACTAATTGAAATGTGGTTATAAGTTGTAACAGTGGAGTCGCATCACATGTAAATAAATAAATAATTTACGAATGTCTTATTTGTGTGAAGAGAAAAGAAAAAGGAAACGTTTTTATCGTTATTATTATTAGTAAGAGACATAAGATTTTTTTACTACACCCTTGATTATTGAGTATTTTCGATATCTTGGGAAAAAAACGAATTTGAATATGTTATGTGTGACCTATTGTATAGTCTTTATTTGGCGGTACAATCAAATGTTATTTATTTGTGATAAGGCACGTGGTTAGTCTTTAATGTGAACATAAGGTTGTGACAGTGCGTAGGTTGGGAAATTAAATTCGAGTATCTGACAAAATTTTCAAGTTTTTTTTAAAAAGAAAAGTATTAGAATGGGTTCCTATTAGAATGAGACCAAGATGTTGAAGACCCAAAATTATATAGACGACTTGTGAAAGACAGAAGAAACTAGAAAGCTTTGTCAATTTCGGTTAAAAGAGTCTTTTTCTTTGTCAAAGTTTGAAGAGTCTTGAATCTGCCAATACTCTAGAAGAATGACAAAAAAAAACATTTTTTCACTTCCTCAGTTTAAGCGTATCGTTATATGTACATCAATTGCTGACCAAATTTTAATTAGAGTTAAGGACAGGTTACGAGGACAACCAATTGAAGACAAATTGGTAGATATGTTGGTATAGCTTACTTATGACTACAGTATTTTAAATGTAATTTGCATGTATCAGGTTATTAGTGACGTGGCTTCCATTTGTTATGCTATGTTTTTACAAAGTTCTATAACTAATTAGTGCCGATCACAATTGTGTGGAATAACTTTATGAATAAAATGGAAATGAAAGGAATGAAAATGATAGATGAATAATTTTGCTCCACTCATACTTCTTAACTAGGATAGATGAACAATTATTCATAACGGAATATTTTTTTTTGTTTCGTTCAGGTTTATCTATCGTGTAGAATCAATCAATATAACTTTTTCCATATATTTTCATTACGAAATAAAGTTCCCAAAAAAACTAGGAATTGATTCTACCATGTGTAAGTGTAGCCTTTATTTACCGTAACTCATATTAGTTTCGATATTACTTTACCGTACTTAGTTAATAATAATAGCCAATATAATGCATTATTTGTTCAACAATGTTTATTAGAAATTATATAAAAATAAATTTAACAATCTATCATTCACACATTTTGACCCAACCAAACCAAAGCACAAAGACTAATTGAGTTCTGTAAACAATCAAACCTTCTAGTTAATCACGACCAATGATTTATCTTCATCGTCTCAAAAGACATGTTCTAATCGTTTGTCTTGTTTTTCGGGATTTCAAGATCCAATAGTTCTGCAAAAATTACAATTTTAATTAGTTTAAAAATTAGCTCATGAAAGAAAAAGCTTGAAAAACTTTCACTGCGAACTAAACGTACCATCGCATAAAGTCCATGCAGAAAGATTGTATTTAAGCATCTCTATGATATATATGCTCTCTTCACATGTTTTCTTGTCAAGGCCATCAAGTTCAGCGATTGCTTCATCGTAAGCTTTCTTAACCAATTTACATGCGCTGTATAAATTCACATATTACTATTAGATACTAAAAAAAAACTGTAAAAATTATTCGTTTAAATTTACTTGGCAATGAAAATATAAATAGTTCAATATACATATTTTATTTAAACACCGCACTTATTTTATTTTTAAGCAAATGTGATATTACCTTTCAATAGATTTAAGGATCTCATAATTGAATATCGAGAAGTTTAAAGCCAATCCAAGTCTAACCATATTGGTGGGTGCTAAACTATTCTCTGCCATTTCCATTGCAACCTACAAAATATATGCCTTTTTCATGTTTTTTCCAAACTAATATATGGAAGAAAATATAACAAAATAAATATTAAAGTTGAGGGAAAACCATGATTGAAAGAGGACCTTATATGCTTCCAGAGAATTATCCGCATTTTGTTTACGTTCAGCATCAGAACCAAACTCAGCCATATATCGAAAATAATCTCCTTTCCTACATATACCAAGAAACAATTTAACAAAAGGATTTAAAAACCAAAAAAAAAAAAGATGATCATGATGATGATAACGGAATATGACTTACATTCTGTTAAAAAAGACAGTTAATTCGACATTAGTAGTTGATGGTATGAGATGAGAATCAATGAGAGACAAAATGTCATTACAAACATTGTAAAACTCATATTTAACCATTTCTTGTTGTCCTTTTATCAATTTCACATTTTGGTCGCTTCCTTTCGAGTCTTCCATTTTTTCAATGGATGATATTACTCTCAATGAAGCTCTCTTAGTCTCCAGGACATTCTTGTACCCAGTTGTTAGTAGGTCTCTTTCCTCTTCACTTAGCTCTATATCATGCTCACATACTTTTCTCATCGTTTTCATCATATCTGCCACAACAATTTCAATTGAAAAAGATTCAATAATATAATTAGCCGTTTAATTACTTCTTATGAGGTTATAGAAAGATAGATAAAGTAGCTACAATGATTTCTTCGTACACAAGAGTAATTCTATGCATTGCTAAGAGAGATAACTTTGTTTGTAAGAGAGGTAACTTCGTTTGTAATCATATGATACGAGTAACCATAAGTTTTTTTTTTAAAAACAAATTCTACAACCTTTGATTGATCGATGACAACATGAAAAAACATAAATAAATATGAGAATCAACTTCCTAAAGAATACTACGT